CATGGAATTTGTTTACAGGAAAGAAGTTAATGTTATTCGATGGACATCATATATCAGAGGTGTCACAATGTCATTCATCATCTTTACCACGAGAATGTCGTTGTTCATCACGGTGCTGGCTTATGTGCTGTTCGGTAATAAAATAACGGCCGAGAAAGTATTCATGATAACCGCCTATTACAACATTTTACGTACAACTATGACCGTTTTCTTCCCACAAGGTACGTACGTGAGACGCGTAATTAATATGCGAACAATACCGATGACATTAGTTAAAGGAAACGTTGCAAAGGACACTCGCAACGTTTCCTTTAATATTTCTTTATTTTATTTTTTTTTTATTGTTTCTCCTTTTTCTCTCTTTCCTCCTCTTATCATTATTCTTTTTTAATTTTCTCTTTATTTCAACTTTTTTTCTCTATTATATAATCTTGTACTTTGCGTACTTTATCATTTTAAATATCGTAAATAAAAGATTACATTTATTATTATTAAATAAATTTTGATAAATTTATTCTCTTTTATCTATCATTAGTCACTTTTGTGTCTTTTTTATTTATCTATTTTCTCTCCTGTTCAGGAATAACACAGGTAGCGGAAGCGATGGTATCCATAAGACGGCTGCAAAAGTTTTTAATGTATGATGAAGTGACAACGCCTGCGATCGAGGCGACAAAGGTGAACAGCAATGAGAAAGTAAAGGAGAGGAATAAGAAAAATATAATAGAGAATAACAAGGAAAACGTAATAGAAAATAATAAGGAAAGTATGAAGGAGAATAGCAAGGATTATGTGAGAGAAAATCAGCCGATCGAGCATCACATTTCCATCGAGAACGGCAATGCCAAGTGGCTAGACTACGAGCGAGAAGACACTCTACAAAATATCAATATAAAAGTACGTCCCGGTGAACTGATTGCCGTCGTCGGCCAGGTCGGTGCGGGCAAAACCAGTCTGTTGAACGTCATTCTGAAAGAATTGCGTTTGCAGGAAGGCTCCATTCAAGTATGTCATAATTTTTTTTCAATAATTAATAAATAAAAAAAGTAGACTATATTCAAGAAAATAGGTAATTCATTATATAATCGACTAGGATGGCGCCTATTAAATTATTAAACAAAATTAAAAATTGAAAACATTAATAAATGTTAAAAATCATATAATATCTGAATTATCTATTTTTTATTTACGATTAATGTATTATAATTAAAGCATTTCATTGCCATGATAATCATTGATGATCTTTTTATTTACTATTAATATATGTTATTAATACTTATGGAACACGCGGTTATTTATATTACAAGACTGACTTTGATAAACTTTGTTGATAATAACAATGATGGAAGGCCAAATAACAAATTGCATTGGTGAAGAAATCAATATTTTTATTTATTATAACGTATCTTAACTTTGTCTTTTACTCTTCTTCTTATGAAATGATATATTTAACATAAACGAAAAGACTGAAACATGTTTGATTTGAATAAATGTATTAATAAATTTGGATATAGATAAATCTTGAATAAATTTTATTTGACACGAAAATAATTTAATTAATTTATGTATATATTTTGAATATAAAAAATATGTATATAAAAATATATTTTTTAAAAAAGACAAATTTATAGCCAAATTTTAATACATTTCAAGTATATCATTTAATATATTTTTAATAATTTAATAATTTAATATAATTTAATTTCTTTTTTGTTTTTGTTCAATAAATTTGAATTAACAAATGTATAAATTAACTGATTTCTATATATA